GCCCTGTGTGTACCATGCACACACAAGTCTCAGCCCTCATAGAATACAAATATTGTCATGTAACTGTCTCTTACCAGCCCATTCAGCCCTCCAGCCTGCAGTTAGCTGGGCATTTCCACTGTGTGAGCCGACCCCATTCTCCCCATGCATAGCATCCCAGAGCCAGAGGAGCCCACCATAACCCAAACTGGAACTCGTTCTGTTATTTTACTCACTCGTTTATTCATAAAATACAGTCTGAGCCCCTCTGTGCGCCAGGCACTGTTCTATACTCTGGGGATAGAGCAGAGAACTAACCAGGCAAAAGTACCTGCTTTCAAGGAGCTTACACTGTAACGGGGGGAAAGACAGACAACAAACAAGTAACAGTCACCGTGTGTCAGATGCACATTGGCGCTGTGGAGAAAAATAAAGCAGGAAAGGGGAACAGAACATTTCTGCAGAGGCTGAAATTTTAAATAGAGTGGTCATGAAAGGCTGCAATGTGCCTGCCAACAAAAGTATGTGTGTTAGCAAGGTTTCATTCACACAAGTTATAGTGCTGTCAGCCGTGAATTCAATGTTAGTGCATCAATCATACATATTAAATAAGGTGCCTTTAAACAGAACCACACATATTTAGAAGCTATGCATTGATCGGTTGATGAATATGTTGTGACCAGAGGCTCACAGGAACCTAACTCTATATTTCACCTCGGAGCAAGGGTTTGGCATTCACTAACTCAGTGTTTATGGTGACTTGAGAGCGTTCAAATGCAGTCATCAAGAACCGGTACATTTCTAGTCCTAAAGGCAATCTCACTGTGACTTCTCGCATCTGCGCCAGATGAATAACCTGGCTGGAGGAGGCCGTTTCCACTACTTCATCCTTCTCACTACATCCATCTCAAAGCTGCAAACGGCCTGTGGTGGGAGGGGAGCATCCCACTTAGAGACCTCCTGCATAAAGGGAGAGCCCGCAACCGCATCTATGGCTGCTGTCCGCGGTGCTGAGCATCTAAACCCAGCTTCCTAAAAGAGAAGACGCACTGCAAAAATCGTTATGAAATTCACGTAAGTGAATCTAAGGGTCCTGTCCCCTGTTCCCCAGTGATCAAGGAGAGAAGGCTTTTTTTGTTTTTAAAGACTGGATTAGTGACCATGCATGAAGAGAGAGCCTTGATCTCATCCTCGTGGGGCAAGATAACATCCACAAGAAAGAAGATGTCCAAAAAATGAAAGACATCGTTCTAAAGCCACAGGAATCCTGGAAAGAGCCAAACGTGGGAGCAAGTCTTGCTTATTACCACTGGGTTCCTTCCCACACTTTGCCAATCCTGGGCTACTGAGGCCCAAGGATCAGCGTAACCAAGCCTTCTAAACCAAGATCTCCTCTGACTCTCTAGAAGATTTACAATCTCCTCCTATTTCTCATGACTAGCTTCCTGAGTCCCTGAATCAGATTAATAAAATAATGTTTTTTACACTAGGAAAATGATACTACTTTTGTCAGAGGCATGTGTGCCCTTTAAAAGAAAGAAAGCATCCTAGAAAATGGATGTAACCCAATTTGCATTTCTCTGATATTACAATAATTGATGCTATTGTCACAGCTAAAACTAAGTAGTTTTCCAGGTCATTGGGAATTAGGATCTGATTAATAACTAAGAATGATCTTTTTCTCATGCCACCACCTGTCATGAGCCCAGCAAGTCATAGAAGACCTTGTTGACAACTTCCCAAAATCCTGCCATCCTGTTACGTAGTACAAATGTGATCCCAGAAATCTAAGTCCCGTCGAGCCCACATCAAGATGTGCAACAACCTTCAGGTCCTGTGGAGATAACCTGGTGACATTTGGACCTTCGCGAGACTGCTAAAGAGGGCCAGGATTAAGGACAGTCTACCTTCTTTAGTAGTGCAGGGTCCTCACTGGTGTCATCTGGCATAGAATAAAGGTTGCCCTTCTTCTGAGACTGGATATGGAATACACTCGCTTTAAGGAACAGGAGATGGCATCACCCCATCTGAGTGGGAAGATAGGATTTTTATCCTCTCTGTATTAGTTGGGACTCTTTTGGTTTCTAGTGATAGAAACTGAATTCAACATGTCTTGGGCCGGCCGAGTGGCTCAGTTGGTTAAGAGCTCGCTCAAGAGTGCAAGCTCTGAGCAACAGGGTCGCCAGTTAGATTCTGGGCCCGAGCTGAGCTGCTGCTGAGCTGCCAAAAGGTGGCAGGATGGCTCAGCTTTAAAAAAAAAAAAAAAACTACATGTCTTAAATGCTATAGCAAATTTACTGGCTCACATGACTAAAAAATCCAGGAAGGAGATTCGGCTTTCGGGGCTGGTAGGTCCAAATACATGCATTTTATCATCAGGGCTGGAATGCTCCCCATCTCTCAGCTCTACTTTTCTTTGTGTTGGCTTCACTCCCAAGCCCCATGGGGACACACACACACACACACACACACACACACACACACACACACCCCCCTCATGGATAAAACACACTCCTTCCTGGTATTAGTAGCCCAAACAGAAAGAGAAGTTCTCCTTTGTAATCTTCCAGAAAATGTCCTGGGTGGGTGTCATTCCCACTTGGATTGAATTGGGACCCATGTCCACTCCTGAACAAAATGCTGTGATAAGCTGATTGACTAGATCTAGAGCCAGAGGTGGGATCAACCCAACTCGAACCACAGTTCGAGGACTGAGAAAGGGGGATGAAACGGTCCTCCAAAGGAAATTCAGAAATGCCTACAGAATAAAAGAAAATGGATGCTGGTATAAAAAAAAGAGAGTAAATATATGACCACTGCACCATTGCTTTTGGCAAGCAAGTCTACAAAATCTGTGCATTTAGGGAACAATGTGAGTCTCATTTAATACCACCTTTTCCTAAGTGGTGTAGAAGTAATACTATTGACAACAAAGAGGGCTGTTGGTTCACTTCCTTTTAAAGTTCCTTCCTCACTCATTGCCACTTTCTTGGAGAGTCACCCGTTCACCCACAGTGGAGGACCTCTAGCGCCATCTCTGTTCTGTGTTTCTACCCTCATGATGCTAGCTGATTGGACGGGGGTGAGGAGTCCTGACCCCAGAGAAGCCAGCTCATTGGGAGACCAGTGGCCAATCAAATTTGTCCTAGGCATCCACTGAGACTGAGAGGGTGGTTGGGAACTCAAGGAAGCCCACAAAATCCTCCTCCTGAGGGACCCAGAACTTTCCTGGTTCCCCTTCTCCCGAGGTCTATTTGTGTATACGGAAACCTCTAGATTCCGTAAAAGACTTCTGCCTGCATCCATTTAATAATGTCTTGGTTTTGCTTCCACTAACTTGAGTCTGTTTCTGTTACAAGCCCTGAGACAGGAGTGTGTCCGTCATATTCAAGGACCAACATGGAGGCCAATGAGGAAGGAGCAGGGTGAGCCAGGCTAAGAGTGCAGGGAATGAGAGAAGGGTGACCATGAGGGCTCTGGCTTGCACTCTGAAAGAAGAAAGACATCGTTGAACAGGTTTCAACAGAGGAGTGACATGATCTGGCTCAAATTCAACGGGATCCCCTTGGCTGGTGTATTGATAAGAGGCTTTAGAGGGCAGGGGAGACTAGTCAGGAGGCTCTGGCAATGACCCAGGTGACAGATGGTGATGGACCGGAGCATGGCGGTGGCCCCAGAGCTGGTGAGAAGTATATTGTAGACATATTTTATAAGTATGGACACTGATGCTTCTGGAGGGAAAGGGAGCTGACTATAGTCTAATGATGACAGAAGCTGTTCAGAGACAGCACCACTCCGTGCTTTTAACCGGAGGCATAGTGGAAATACAGAAGTCAGAACTGCATTCATGAAAGAAGCCAGACACAAAAGAGTCAGCCATTTGTATGAAGTGTAAGAACCAAGAAAACCAAGCTATTGTGATATAAATCTGAACGTGGCTGCCAATGTTGGAACTGAATAGAGAGGGGTTGAGGGAACCTATTGGGACAATGCTCTATATGTTGATTAGGGTGATGGTTACACGAGTGTATACGTTTACCAAGAACTCATTGACTTGTATCCTTAAGATCTGTGCATTTCACTGTGTATAGATTTTAACATGAGTTTTCAAAAGAAATCAATTCAGCCTAAATTTATTCTATCTGATAGTGACATAGATCTATTTTATGTCTTATCCCTGAGTTCAACGAGCTTGCCATCTTTTAAAAACATTTTATGGCACAGGTGATATATAGACAGATAGATATAGATAGATACAGGTATCTAGATATAAATTCCATTAAAAAAACACACAAGAAAACGCAGATAAGTAAAAATCGTTTGTAAGCCTACCCCAAGAGATAACCTCTTTTAAAAGACATATATATATATATATATATATATATATATATATATATATATATATATATATATTTTCTATTATCCTATATTACTGTTTTTGCAGCCCGCACTTTTCTCTTAACTGTTCATTTTGTCGTGCTAATTAAACGGGGTATATTGACAGGAAAAAATCCCAACTAGTAGGAATTCATCCCAAGGGAATAATCAGAGATGTACATGAAGACATTATACAGAGGGTAATTTATATTAGTGAAAAATTGGAGGCAATCTTAAAATCTATCAATTGATTGATTAAATAAGTTATGTGAATGGTATGCTTAGGTAAATGTGTATATTGGCAAGAAAAGTTACTCATAATATATTATGAAGTGAAAAAGGTGGCTGTGTTTTACGAGACTATAACTGTGTAGTATATTGCCATTAAAATGAACTTAAGAAATTAAAGAACTGTGCGTATTTCATAATCCCATTATCCATATATAAATATATATATATATAAAGTAATAACCAAACTGTTAATTATGCTCGTTTGGGGGTGGGGGGGAGTCGCAGATTATGGAAAGACTTCCATTTACTCTTTATCACTTGAATTCTTTACAATGTGCATGTTTTGTTAGAATAAATGATTGACATTTTTAAAGACACTTTTCTTTAACTTGTCCTCCAAAAATACGGAACCAGTTTCTACTCACCTGGGCACGTAGCCCTGTTATTCAAGTGCGGCCCTTGGACCAGCAATGGAGGCATCACGGGGGGTGTAGGGGGGGTGTGGAAATGCAGATTCCCGAGCCGCTCGCCTACTGAATTAGAATCTGCATTTTAATACGATCCCCAGGCGATGGTATTCACAGGTAAATCTGATGAGCACTGAGCGACAACAGACTCCTTTCCCTCCCTGAGTCTGTTTCTTCTCGACTCAAAGGGACTGAGCCCGAGGTGTCTCTAGGGCCCCTCCTCTCCCTCCCCCAGCTGCAATCTTCTAAGCTCATTTCTTGCTGAGTCCCTATAAAAAGGCAGCTGACCCGATCAAAGGATAAGCGGCCTGGCTGAACAGCCTCTGCTGCCAGCAGCCGGACGTAGGTGGCGTGAGGCAGCCTCACGCCCCAGGTCAGGAGGAAGCCCGAGGCAAGAGGCTGCTGG